CGGACGCTTAACCGACTGCGCCACCCAGGCGCCCCAACACCTACATTTTAAAAACCGACTTCAAAGGATTCAATTTTCCATTTATGTAGAGATTTTTATGGCAAAGAGTGTGCACACAAATTTCTACAGCACACAAAAGTGACCTCAAATTCTCTCTGTAGGTCCAAAGAATAACATTTGTACTAATTAAATGCTCTCTACTGCTCTGAAATTATCTACCTAATTCCACTCAGCAGAGGAGCACATAAAACCTAACATCTATGTCACTCCTACAGCCCTAACTCACCTTGATCGGGATCTATGACGCCGTCTAGGTCGAGTATGAGAAGGAGAGCGAGACCGTGTCCGGGATCTTGATTTGGAACGTGACCGAGATCTTGGTCGGGTCTTCTCCTTCTCCTTTTCTTTTTTGGAATTCTTCTCTGGAGAAGGTTCTTTAGGCTCTGGTACAGGTTCAGGTTTGGGAACTTTCAGGATGTCACTGTAGAAACAAAATGTTGATGCAATATGGTTATTTCTCTTTTTAAGACGGTGCCAGAATCCATGAGGACTTCTCCCCAGCTCCAAAAGATATATACACATCAGTGAAAGCCAAAATGCAACTAACAATTCTAACCACATACATTCTTAAGAGTACAAAGCTGTCCACAATACTGGCGAAAAAAGCAAGTTACAGGATATAAGATATCTGAAACAATACAACCAACCAATAGCAGTGGTCACCTTTGGGGCATTTCACTTTTTAAAATTTTTTTGGTGTTTTTATCTTCGAGACAGAGAGCTGAGAGCATGAACTGGGGAGGGGCAGAGACAGGAACAAAAGCAGGCTCGGCGATGACAGCAGAGCCCCACACGGGGCTCGAACTCACAAACCCTCAAACTGTGAGATCATGACCTGAGCTGAAGTCAGACGCTTAGCCAACTGAGCCACCCAGGTGCCCTTGGGGCACTTTATTTACACTCTCCTACAGAATCTGAATCTGTCAACAAGCTGATCTTATGATTTAAAAAATACAAAAGGGAAATAACCAAGTAATTTTATGTTTGTAACTCAGAATTATACTGGCAGTTAGCAACAGCCTAAAATTCTTATTTATAAATAAATTTTTATCTACTTGCCTAGTAGAAGTGGCCTCTTGTACTGAAGGTTCTTTTACTTTCACTGATGGTTCTGGGAGCTCTGGAGTTTTTTCCTTCTTTTCTGGAGCAGGGGAAGGACTCCGGCTCTTGGTTCTGTGGCGGGGAGACCGAGAATGACTGCGCTTTCTCTCTCTCCTGACAGGGGAAGATCGTCTTCTAGGGGAAGGAGATCTGGATTTGCGTCTAGGATAAAAGCAATTTTTTTCAGGTTTGTGTCTAGGATAAAAGCAATTTTTTTCAGGTTTTTGAATAATGTTGGTTGGGGGAGAGGGTCAAGGGCAAAGTGAGAAATTAATCTTTTTGATTATACCGCTGTTCTTTATAGGTGAGAGATTCCTTATGAAAAGAAGATATCCTGTCATATTTACTTAATATGGGAAGGGCCAAAAGAAAACCAGAAAGGTAAGTAAACAGAAGGTAACAACACTGTCTGGTATACCAGTTATAAGAGGAAAGCATTGACCTGGAACTCTAGATTTAGATTCTTAATCATTCCCAGAGATGAAGAGACCAAAGACCAACTTTTCAGAGGAAGAGAATGCTTAAAAGTAAAGAGATATTCCCTAACAACAAATCCAAAAAAAACCAACAAAACAAGAGTTGGGGTGCAGACAGATTCCACCATAGAGTTTGTCAGGTAATCTAGGTATTCCAGAAAAATGACTAGTGCAATTAATGTGCTCTTTGGAAGAAAAAAGAAACACGTCATATTTGCATAGCCTTTTAGGAAAAGGAGAAGTCCCCTTTCCTTTTCAATAATAGTTTCCCTAAGGTAAAAGTAAAACAGCAGACCTGGTTCATCAATAGCCTAGTTACCACTGTGATGTGCTTAACACTAGAAATAATACTGCTTCCCTAGTAAGGAGGTTTTAATACCAAATATACAAATTAAAATGGATAAAGAAATTACCTCTGCCCTTTAATTCCAGATTTGTGAAAAAATTAGCAGAACTCTAAAAATGAAAACCCTAGTAGAATTCTCACCTTTCACCACAAATACAGTAGAAGCTGAGTCATGGGTTTAAAAATGGAAACCTAACCATAGTCTCATCGGAAGGAAGAAGAAAACAAATAAATGATCTGGTTTGGGTTCAATACAACCATCTAAGAAAAGCAGAACAGGGCATTAGAGAAGTATAACATGAATGGCTAATGGGTACAGATTTGTAATTAAAAGGAAAGAAAAAGAACTGGAGAAGATTAAAATAATTAAATGCTATATTTAAAGAAAAGCAATATGGAAAGCAAGTCTAGATTCTGATTTAGAAATTGAGAGTTGTACAATTCACCAAGATTTAAGAGACAATTATTATAGTCCAATGATCTGCCTCAAACAAACCTTTAATATTTTGGGCCAGAGACCAGCCTTAGTTCATCATGAAAACTACATGATGGAAGAAATTCTGAATAGTGCTGGTAGCTTCCTTTTTAACTGTGTAACTTTCTACACACAGAATACTATCTGAAGTATTTGTAAAACATATGCATCCGTTGTATTATACCTTCTTGGGCTCCGAGACCTCTCCCTTTTTTCTCTGCTGCTTTCTTTTTCTTCCTTATCCCTCTTATCCTTGTCTTCATCTTGCTTTTTCATAGATGCCAACTTTTCTTGTTCAATCTGCAAAGATCAAGTTTTCAAAGAAACATAGCTGAACATCTGAGATCACTAAACACATTGAGGAAGACTTTGCACCTCTGATAAACACCAATGCCGTATAAATCATTTCATCAGCCTCCTGCTTTTCAACAAGACTATTCTCGCTGAAAATTAATCCCTAACAGCTGAATGAAAGAGAATAGTTATTTTCAAGTTTACTTAAAAAAATAATTTTCATGTTCAACTTATTCTTTTGTGATTTAACATACACTGCCCATACGAAGAAGCCATGCTTACACTTTTACACTGTTACTAAAGTTCAATTTTCTTAAGCTAGAAGTACTCACATTAAAAAAAATGTACACACACACACACACACA